TGCGTGTTCCATGGTCACGAGGTTCTGTCGTCCTGTGTGGGGTGTGTGTGTGTGTGTTCCATGGTCACGAGATGTCTGTTGTCCCGTGTGGTGTGTGTGCGTGCGTGTTCCATGGTCACGAGGTTCTGTCGTCCTGTGTGGGGTGTGTGTGTGTGTGTGTGTGTGTGTTCCATGGTCATGAGCTGTCTGTTGTCCTGTGTGGTGTGTGTGCGTGCGTGTTCCATGGTCACGAGGTTCTGTCGTCCCGTGTGGGATGTGTGTGTGTGTGTGTGTGTGTGTTCCATGGTCACGAGGTGTCTGTCATCCCGTGTGGAGTGTGTGCGTGCATGTTCTATGGTCACGAGGTTCTGTCGTCCTGTGTGGGGTGTGTGTGTGTGTGTGTTCCATGGTCACGAGGTGTCTGTGTGTCTTCTTTTATAAGACACCTTGCAGAAGGGATTAGGATTATGACATAACCTATTCCGGCATGACCTCATCTGACTTAACTGGTAAGCAAAAGAAAAACGGTACTTACAAACAAGGTCAGAACCACAGGCACAGGGTTGGACTTCAACTTGCTTTTTCAGGGGACAAAAGTCGACATAACATTTCCCAAACTCCTTTTCAGCCTCATGTCCACTGTGCTGCTCTTCCATATAGTTTTATCTCATCTCTTCGGTTCCACCCCCTAGTTCACTAACTTTCCTCACATTACCTCATGTGCTCTAACACCCATCCACTGCATTGAAGCATTATACTTTTCTAGAAATTCTCTTCGGTTCATTTTCAAATATGCTTTTTATTAATATTTTCAAGATTATTTTATTTCTTAACCATACCAACATTTTCTATTTTCTAATAATTTCACTGAGTGTCTTCAGCTTTGATTCTGTTCACTATTATTTCTGCCGGCTCCTGTTGGACAAGCCTCGTTTTTTTTTTTGGTGGATTTTCTAATTCCTCTACTGTAAGCTGCACACTTTCCTTAGAACTTTACTGTGGAAGTCCCGAGAAGCCTGGAACGAAGACTGGTTCCTCCAGCGAGGATTCATGTTTGCTTTTCTTGGGTACCTGAGAGTCACCAACATTTCCGAACAACCTGACATCAATTCTCAGCCTGAGGTTTTATGAACACCAGCTTGGATACATGTGCACTGCAAGCCCAAGTTTAAGGCGGCTTCTACAGCCATGAACTCTACACGGAGACAACAGTAAGGCTGAAGAGAGCCGATTTTCCTGGAATCCTCGAGCAGGAGAAGGTGAGCTGATTTCTGGATCACCCAAATCCTGAGGGTACAGGTCCTTTGGGACTCCACACTCATTGGTGGGAAAAGGAGGTAACGTCCATTAGATTTGTCACCTTACTCAGGACCTAGGATTTGTCTCATGACCTGAGCCCCACGAATTGGAAAGCTACGAAACGATAAGCGAACTCCCTCAAGGCTAACGTCTCCCTTCGAGCTCTGCCCACGTATCTGGGCTCCTGCCTGCGCTTAGGTTTTGGTCTGAACATGTTTTCTTTCCAGGATATCAAGCCAGTATTTTAATTGTTTCCATCAGGAGGGCTGGTCTAGGTACCAAGTCTACCCTATTTCCAGAAAGAATGGTTAAAACAGTCCCTTCCAGCTCAAAGGAACAGTAAACAGATCCCAGGGAACCAGGCATAAACACTGAGAGTTGTTTCTCTCTCCCCAAGCATCAACCTCTATGTTCAATTCACCATAACACATTCTGGCGCCGGATTCTGCCTTCAAATCTCTGACACCTGACCCTGTTGCTATCATTTTAGTTCTGGGCATTATGTCTTCTGTGCTACCCCACAGGGCTTTGGGGGAGCTAAAACTTAGCCTGCACGTAACTAAGAGTTTAAGCTTTCTAAAATCTTGGACCTGTTCGTTATGCTGGTCTTCCATCAGAGAACCTTCATTGTCTTCCTCTACTAATAATGGATTGAGTCCCAAAATGTGATCTTTCCAGGACCTGATCCGACGCTGCCTATCCAAGAACAAATTCCTAGTTCCAGCAGGACCGTCACCTCTTCGTCCTCTGCGCGACCCATGTGCACTTCTGCTAACACGCCGCTGCCCCACACTCTGCTTACCACATCTTGCCAATCCTTTCAGGCCTCTCTCTTTTGTAAAATTTCTCTGATAACTCTCACGAGGGTCCCTCTGGTGTCGGATTCTCTGAGCCCTGTGTGCGTAATATGTATTTTAATTATCTTGACTCAATAAATAAAATTTAGTACTTTGAAGAATTTAAGGGAGTTTTTAAAAATTTAGTATTTCAATTTTTTAGTAGTGAAATGCTTTAGTTAAGCTCTAAGTTGCTTAAGCAGCTCTCTACCCTAGGTCTGTCTCCAAGGCCTGTGCTCTCCTTAACACAGGAACTCCTCTCAGTAGTCAGCAAATACTTGCTGATTTACATAACAAAGAACCCAGTCCCCACACAATCAAATAAACAACACTTCACATTTATCTGGTTTATCTTAGCTTGGTTAAAAAGAAACAGACTCTCAGAGGCACTACAAATCTTAACACGTATTCCTTTAAATCCATGCTTTCGGAAGCCCGTCAAAGGGGACATCTTTAGGTCTTCCCAACGTGCCCGCTCCTTCTGACTCTATCCAACTGCAGAAAGCCACCCTTCAGGGTCCATGCCAACCCCTACACTGTAAGCCTACGAGAATGGTTTAACATCCGTGCAAGTTCACCCCAGGGATGACGCCAGGGTTAAGGGAAAGACGGTAAAAGCTTGGTCTTCCAAATTATTCTGATGCTGACAATCAAGCAATCCAGTAGCAAGAGGCTGCACTGCACAGACCCATTCAGTTTACCTTCTAACGGACAGGCGATGTCTCTAGACCCGACTCCAACAAGCCTGCCAGGAACTGTCATTTAGGTTTCTTAATGCAGAACCTCTTCAAGCACTTGCCTCTCCTTTCATTGCTAAGCTATCAAATTGCATCTTGAATTATCTTGAGTAATTTGTAGGGTTAGTTTTTAATATGAAAATGAAAGAACTCACTTGGCATGCAGATATTTGGAGAATGGCTGCTTAACCCTAGACCAAATGAAAGAAGATGGCCTGGAACTGTGAACTACTCTTAGCATCTCCATCACAGGACAGTTTTGGTCTCTCTTACCTTTCCCGGCCCGTCCTTCATCAACACACACTGGCAGACCTCCTAGGGCAATGGAGAAATCCAGACAAGAGAAGGAAGCACACTAAGTAACGGAGGACAGGCTACAGGAGACGGACAGTGTCAGACACCATGTGGGAGAAAAGAAGGAGTTAGCACAGTTAGCTACTGGTTCAGAGAAACCACCGCTGCTCATTTCAAAGCTAGGTAAGAGAGGTACCCAAAAAAACCAAAGGAAGGAAGATCCTTTGCTTCCTTACAGTAAAGTTCCTTTCAATAGGAGAAGAGAGTTACAGTTAATTCGAAAATCTGTCTTCAGAGAAACAGAAATAACTTAGCAAACAGATACAACTTAGCAAATGGTACAAAGGGACAAAAGACCATTAAGATTCTCCAGTTTAAAAATGTTCATAGAGATAATTAACAGGCTTTTGGGGAAAAATATAATCAGAACTATAATCTAGAAATAGTTAGGAAAAATGTTCTTTCTTTCCCAAGAGAATAAAGACTATTAAAAGCAATGTGAATCCCAATGTTTATACGTTAAATGATGAATGAGGCACACACCTCAAGTGCCCCTCATCAGACGGCCTCACACACCACGAACAACACTCATGTTGTCACATTTAACCATGCAGTGTTAGGACCTGAACACAGTTACAGTGAGGAGCCTCTTCCCACCAGGGACAACCTTCTGCGCTTATCTCCATCTTGTGACCCACTTCCTGCCCACCTGCCCCCCCACCCCCCTCAAAATCTCTCTCCCATCCAGATACTACGGAGCCCGAAATTCCCCCACTGGGAGGTAAGAGTCCTCTGGGCTGATCACTGCCTTTGCAGTTGAGTATTTTTTCAAATGCAAGATGCTAGGAAAGTCTAAAGCCACTTTCGCTAGAGATGTGGTTTGTTTTTCTGGTTACTTTTCCCCACAATAAAGATAGTTTATACAAATAGACACCCACGTGGGCCAAGGGATATGCAAAAGGGGCAAAAAGAGGCTACCTCAGGAAAAAGACACTTTATAATTTCACAACCCTGGGTACAACCAGTTACTTTTATATAAAAACATTATAGGTTAAGTCATCTGTATATGAGTTTAGACATTTCTTCAAAATTAATGCTTAATTTCAATAAAAATCTAAAACTAAAGTCATAACATTTCTAAGTAAGTGAGTGACACATTTGTTAGGACTGAATTCTGTGTAATGTCAAAGGCAGTTTGTGTGAAGATAAATTCATCTTTAAAATGTAAGTGATACTATAAAGTCTGGTAACATCTGAATAGTTCATGCAAATTTTTTAAATAAAATTCATACCTCATGTTCTTTTCTGCAAACTTTGGAAATGTCATTCTTTGAAGATGCCTAAAAGCCAATAAATTTCTCCATTAATGTATTACACATAGTATTCCAAACTGGACAAAAAAAGAACACAAGTTAATAAAGTATACATTAACTGTTAGTGTTGGATTCTTTATTTCTTCAAGGAAACCTTATGCTCAAATATTTCAAAGTTCATAAAATACAACACATTTTATGCAATTTCTTTAAAACAAACATCACCCCCAGGACCCACGGGACATGTTAGACCTTCACTCTCTCTCTCTTGGCTTTAATCTCACACCGCCTCACTTGGTCCTTCTGTTATTTCAGAAACTAGCTGACTCTGAAGGGGACGGAAATCAGAGGCCTTTGTTTCAGCGTTTTCTCACTCTGCAGCAAAAGTTCTGTGAAGCTTTGCCAGGCACTTCTATTTTGCTTTTTTTTTAACCCTTCCTATTCAAGGCTCTGACATTGAACTTATTGAATTTCCTCAGAAAAATGCCATCTATAATGGAGGGAGAGAAACCAAAGATGGGGAGGTCACTATGCCAGGCAATTAACAACTGCACGCAATTTTCTTAGTAAACTGATGAAGACATTACTGTCCCATCTGCAGATGCTCGGAGAAACAGTGAGCAAGTTACCAACCACATGTGACCATGAAACAATTCAAAGACATGCGCGGAGCAGACGGCTTCTTCCACAGGCCATCAGTCCCCAGTTAGAAATGTACTTTGAAGTACAGGGGCTCTGTTGCCTTGTTCCCCTTCCTCCTGGTCTATCACGTAGGTCTGTGCGGTTTAGAACAGGCCTGCTGATGAGCAAGGAGAGGGCATGAGACAGAACAGGCAAACTCATGACCCCTCAAACCCTCCACAATGAGGCTTCCTCTCCGCGCCTGGAGGAGAGCAGCACATGGCTATGCTCTGAGCTGCCCCAAGGGCGTTGCTCAGGCAACTGCATCACAGTGCAGTGGTCTGTGGGAGAGTGAGACCATGCCTCAGACACTCCTGCCCAGGGACCAGTCCTAGAAGAAGAAACTAACGGCAGGCTTTCCAGCTGTGGCCTCAGCCTATCTAAACAGGCATTTCTAATGTCCCATTTAGGTCCATTCCCATCAGCTGGGGTCTCAGGAGCCAGGAGGCTCCTTTTCCCCATAGCATTCTGAAGGCCACTGTCAAGTCCACACAGTGATGAGCTCAGGAGCCTAAGCTGAACTGGACCAGAGATACCGCAAATCAACAAAGGGAAGGTCACACATCACTGCAGGCATCGTGCTCACCTTGGGAGCCAAGCAGGTGTGTGGGCGTCTGCACAGAGCAAACTCAGGACAAAAGAGAGGGAGGCGTGAGAACAGCCCAAGTCAACGGTGCTGGCCGCCCTCACCCAGCGCCTCCTGAACGGACAGGACCGCTCGGGGTCACTCGGCACCCACTCAGCAGGCCCCACACAGAGTACCAGAGGTCTCAGCTCCTGTAACACTCTTTCTCCGCACGGCAGAGGGGAGCAAAGACGCAGAGGTGATGGCTCAGAGTCTCCCATGAGCGGCCCTGACTGAGAAAGCAGCGGGTGGAGAAGGGAATGACCTGGGCAGGAAATGCCGTGTGCGCAGCCTTTGTGGGCCACCTCCCCAGAGCGGAGGTGGGTGGGGCCCAGGACAGACGCAGGGCGACAACCCCCCCGCCAAAGAGCCCCTTTCACCTGTTTGCACGCCTGCCGACACTCCGAGGCCACAGCCAGCTCACAGCAGCCTAAGCCGACCCAGCTGTCAGACTTCTGAAACACACCTTAAAAACAAAACGTCCAAGCATTACCAGTCATTAAGTACTTCCAGACACAAACAGCTTGCCAGACTGGTCCACGGATCCCACCAGAAGTCAGAGCCCGCGTCCAGAGAACAAGACTGAGGCAGCAGGGGTGCAGGACCAGTACCCCGCCCCCACCCCGCCCACGGCCAACGGAAGCGTCTCCTCAGGGCACTTCACAACATAACCACGAGGTCCCTCTGCTTTCCCTCTTGTGCCCCTTCCCACTCTGGACTCTGCTGAGGTCACTCTCCCTCTGGACAGGCAGGGCCTTCACCAGGGGCACGCAGGTCAGGAGGAGCAGGGAGGCCCCATCCTGGCAGGGCCTTCACCAGGGGCACGCAGGTCAGGAGGAGCAGGGAGGCCCCATCCTGGCAGGGCCTTCCCAGGGGCGCGCAGGTCAGGAGAGCAGGGAGACCCCATCCTGGCAGGGCCTTCACCAGGGGCGCGCAGGTCAGGAGGAGCAGGGAGGCCCCATCCTCACTTCCACTCGGAGCCAGAGGCAGAGCTTCCAATGTAATTAACAAGCAAATAAACAAAACCACGAGTGTTACTGCATTCCAAATACTAAATGCCTAAAAGAGAGTAAAATTCGTGATCTTACTTAAAAACTGACACAGAGCAGACAGACAGGAGTATCTGTGAGCCAGGCGTGGCTCTGATGTGGAGACCTGATCATGGGGCAAGAAAACTAAGCTGGTTCATTTTATGCAAAGCGGTCATTTTTTCCAACAAATTACTGTGATTCTAAGAGATGATAAAATTACAAAAGGTATTCTAATGTATTTTCTAGACCCCTTTTGTAGTTAAAATATCAATGAAACGCCCTAGGTCAAAATTAGAAGATACAAGCAACAATTATGAAAGAAGACTAAAGCTTGTGGAGATGTTGGGAATTTCACCTCACTTCCTTTAAAAAACGCTCCATGCTGTTTCCCTGAAATACACGGAGGCTCTGCAGATGCACATTTAGACTAACAGACTGTTGTTCACGTATGAAAAATGTCATGGATTCAATGCAACAGGTAACAGTTCTCCAAAGGAAACCAGGACTTAATAAAACAACAGACGTGTTCTGCTAAAAAACAAAACAAAGAGGGCAAACAAACAGCACAGAGAGAAAGCTCTCAGGATAGAACTATAAAGCACTCAGAAGCAGATTAGACGCAGGCCACCCTGCTGTAAAAACGGACCGCAAACCCTGCCCAGGGTAAGCCGCCGGGTGCCCGTGTGCTTTCTGAGCGTAAGGGGCCACAGCTGCCCTCCCCCAACGCCACTCTGCTAAACCCACCAACCAGCGTTGCTGTCGCTGCCTCAAAACTCACGGTCGTTGAGTTGATCCCGACTCGCAGTGACCCCTCCCTGGGTTTCCGAGGTGGTATCTCTATGGACGTAGATTGTCCAAGCTTCCTTCCGCAGAGTGGCTGGTGGGTTTGAACCACTAGCCTTCTGGTTAGCAGTCAAGTGCCTGAGGCACGACGTCACCAGAGCGCCTACTGTACCAAAAACCCCACTGCCACTGAGTCAGCCCCGACTCACGGTGCCCCTAAAAGAGAAAGCAGAACTGCCCCATAGGGTTTCCGAGGCTGTCCATCTTTATGGCAGCAGACTGCCCCCTCTTTCTCCTGCAGAGTGGCTGCTGAGTGCTTTAACCACCACGCCACCAGAGCTCCTCGTGACTACCTTTCTCTAAGTCTTTACCGCTTGCTGTTCAGAACCTTCACGTTTTCCAAAGACTTCTGAATGGAATCCGTGCAGGCCATGAACTCCGCAAACTGTTCCAATAGCTCAGCAAATGCTGGTCGGTACGCTCAGTGGCCTCTTGGAAATATGACTCAACAAGCTTCCGTTACTGAGCCCCCTGTCAGTGCCCTGCAGGCTATGAAACGGCTAACCCACAATTCATCCCATTAGGGGTATTTTGGCAGGAACTGTGTGTGTGGGACTCCAAGACACTAGGGAGAGGGCTAACTAGGGGAACAGACAAGAAGGCGGCAATTTCAGGAAGGCAACTAGTGCAGCCTGTCTGAAACGGAACTTGAAACAGTGTGACAAGCCCTCAGAATCCAGAGACATGCGAAACATACTCTTTTTTTCAAGGTACTAGCTTTAAGCAGGAGGACAAATGACCTTGAACGTCAGGCTGGGGAGCTCGGCTTTGTTCCGATGGAAGTGATGTCCACCGAGGGATTCTTTTTGAAGGTGTGTGGAGGACAGACTGACATGGGAGTCCCCAGTTACAAGATCGTTACATAATCTCTCCCAAGACTGTACTAATCAAGGCCTGAACTAGGCGTACAGAGGACAGACGCAAAGCTCTGCTGGTGGCGCTAGAAACAGGTACCAAAGACAACGGGAGCGTTTGGTCTGCGGTCACTCACGGAAGGGCAGGCGTCAGACGGCCTGATTTTGGATCTGTACTTGGGACGCCGCCTGGATGCAGTGTTCCAGGTGGAGACGACTACTAGTCGGGAACCTTCCCAGAGGGGAGACGCTGACACTTTAGGGAGGGACGAGATTACCAGGTGGGCATGGAGACAAGAGGACGAGGCACGGGGTAACCAGTCCTTAAAGAGAACGAGGTGATGAGGCCAGGGGGGACTCACAAGGACGGAGCCATCGGCAGTGCCAAGTGCGACGGGAAAGTGAACAGAGCACGCGTAAGATGAAGCTTAAGATCCAGTAACCAAGAGCCTGATGACTTTCCACGGGGCACTTCCAAGAGAAGGGCAGAAGCGGACACACGAGTGCAATGTCAAGGGCTGAGTAAAAGCAAACACATGACGCATCTGAAAACGTGGGCGGTGAAAGGAAGAGAGGCCAGCACCTCGAGGTCACCCACAGGTGACAGGCATGATGGCAGACTGCAGCACCTCACGAGTTCTCATGGAGACAGTGCTGACCAACAGAAGACAGGCCTGTGAGCTGGACATTCACATCAGGCAGACACACTCCCTGGAGAGCGCAATCCCAGAGGACAGAAGGGCTGTGCGTGCACAGGGAGACCGCTCGGGGGCAGGAGTGCACGGAGGGAAGGACCCAGGGAAGAGGTACCTATGGGGAGGAAGTGGGAGGGGAGCTGTCGCACTGTGGGAGATGGCAGCCAATGTCACGGGACAAAGGGCATGTGAGCTGCTGTGCGGCAGATGAATGTGCTCTGTAAACTTTCCCCCAAATCACAGTGAAATTAAAAACGGCAAAAAGTACTGGCCGCCCAGCTCCTCCTGCTTACCTGTCAAAGACGAGTTCATACAACTCCAGATTTCAACCTAAAAGAGTAATCACCAAAGACTTTTATGTAGATTACCACTTTCTACATGTGGCATTTCTATAGAAATCTTATCTAGCTTATTTGATCACGGCTGTCTTTATACAATGTTCTCGGACTGTACACACAGTGTCCGATTTTGCAGGAAGAGAAGAAAGCTTAGATGCAGAAGCACAGCTTGCCCTTTTTCCATCTTCCCATGAGTCTGGTTCCTCAGGATGCTCCTTGGAAGCAGTTTCCAAGCACACACACTAAGTGTCAGAACCGGAACCGTCGGCTCAGCAACTCGACCCACTCCCCAACCACAATGTAAGCCCCCGTTTCTGAAGAGGCTGTCACGTGCGCTCAGACCTCCTTGGGGTAAGTGTTGTGGAATATTCCTAACACTGAGGACCATCCTAGCGTTAGAGCCCTTCTAAGTTACGGGGTTCAGCCCATGGGCAAAGGGTCTACAGGACACAGGAAGCGGGGAACACAGGAATGCTGAGAAGCCACACGTTTCTCCTCACCCCAAATTCGTCTTTTCAAATTCAAAATATGTATGAGTCCATTATTACGGTTTTCATAAAATTGGTCAAGACACAATAATAAATAAATTCCAAATTCCAGATAAAATACTACAATGAAACGTGAAACCTGGAATTTAACATCTAAGACTATTTTTGGACCCACAACACAGAATAGACAATCAAGAAGAAAAGTGATGCTCTACCTAGCAATCAGTGTGAAGATCCTCTAAAGTTATACAATTAAATCTAACCTTTCACTTTAACCACAAGCCCCATTAACATGTACAATTTTGCTAAATCAAAGTCACTTAACACATGGCTTCATCTATGCAAAAGCGACCCAAGTTGAGCTGAGAAGACCTACCATGGTTTCCGGGCAATAGTCGGGGGCTCGCTGCAACAGATGCTTCAGGCGGGACTCGCTTTTTGAGGAGAAAATCTATTTCACCAAAAAAAAAAAAGAAAAAAAAGAAGACGTTTTGTACCATTTTTTCCCACAGAAACAAGAAGTAAGACTTACCCTCTAAGTAAGTCTAAAACATCCGTTCTCTAGAATATTCTCCAACTTACTTTAATAATGGAAACCCTTTGAATAGTTTTAAATTCAGCTGTATAAAAGTTACTTAAAGGTTGGTTAGTTTGGCAAATAATCAAGAAAGTTCAAGTACAGCAGCTCAAGACCCTTTTCTGATGACACACGAAACAGGAGAAAACCAGGCTGCTGATTGTCAAGAGGACTGAAAGTGAGGAGAAAACAGAAAAGGAGGGAAAAGGAGACACACGTGTTCAAAACTGTTCCACAGAATGCCTTGAGTCACCTGATTACAAGGCAACAGATTATAACCGTGACGCTGGTGAAGACCAAATCTGTGAATGGCATCCTGGCACAGAATGTCCCCAAACAAACAAGGACAAAGCTCTTTTCTGATACAGCTGCTGAGGGACTGACAAGGTTCACTCACGAGGCTGAATGGCCCACCTCCAAAGCTTTGTTGTTGTTGCTGTTGTTCCGTGGAGTCGGACCCGACTCATAGCGACCCCTCCTCGGGTTTCTGAGGCAGTATCACTACGGAAGTAGACTGCCCAACCTTCCTTCCGAAGAGTGGCTGGTGGGTTTGAACCGCCAGCCTTCTGGTTAGCAGTCACATGCCTTAGGCACTAGCTGGGGCCTCAGTAAATTATAAACCGTTACGTATTATCAGATAGACTCATAGCGACCCCTCCTTGGGTTTCTGAGGCTAGGTATCTCGGTGGAAGTAGATTGCCCAACCTTCCTTGTGAGGAGTGGCTGGGGGGTTTGAACCACCAGCCTTCTGGTTAGCAGTCAAATGCCTTAGGCACTACGCCACCAGAGCTCCAACAGACTTACATGGTTACCTGCAAATAGCTGAGTCTGTAAAATCCATGAACGCTAAGGGCAATGCAAATGGATTTATCTCCAGTTAAATTTATTTAGTAGCCATTTTTCTCCAAAACCATCAGCTACAATTAAGAATTGAAAAAAGATGTAATATCACCATTTTGCAACCTCTGTGAATCAATGCATTGAGACAACTATCAAAAACGGTTACTAACATTACAGAGACAACCAGACACAATACCATTTATGAGAAAGTCTTGCGGAAACCAACAAACAAACAAACAAAAAACAACCAACTTCGCCCGATTTTAACCAAGCCTCTGGACAGAGTAAGGCAGTTATCAGCCATGTGTGCCTATTTAAACAGCAATCAACTAAAATGAAATAAATTAAACATCAGTGCCTCAGCCTCTTGAATCACATTTCTAAGGCACATGGTGGTTGCCGTATTGGATTGCACAGAGAGAGCATGTTTTCAGCACGACGCAGTCCCATCACTCGGCTCCATTCTAAATCTACCAGGTGCTAAGAGTCACGAGATAAATGACACAACGGGGCGCAAACAGCAAAATGCAGACTGGGGGAGACTCGCCAGGATAAATGACCCAATTCTTCACCGAATAAACTAAGGATAACATATAGATCAAACTGAAAAGACATATAACCAACTGAAATGCATATATGCCCTTGGATCCTGAATAAACTGGGGGGGAAAAAAAAAGAACCGAGTAAGAAATTTGAACAGTGACGAGATAGTTGAATGTTTTATTTGTTAAGAAGTGATAACAATATTGTGGGTTTTTTTTTTTTTTTTTAAATCAGTACTTATAATTTGGGAGCTCTGGTGGCGTAGTGGGTAAGGGATTTGACTGCTAACCAGAAGGCTGGCAGTTCAAATCCACCAGCCACTCCTCGGGAGGAAGGCTGGGCAATCTACTGCCGTAGTGATACCGCTTCAGAAACCCCAGGAGGGGTCGCTATGAGTCAGATCCGACTCGACGGCAATGAGTGTGGTTTGGTTTTGACTCGTAATTTATACATAAAACCTGTTAAAACCAAACCCAGTGTTGCCACACCAATGCACTGTGATTCTATAGGACAGAGAACTGCCCATATGGTTCCCAAGGCTATAATCTTTACGGAAGCAACCTGCACATTTCTCCTGAGGAGCAGCTGCTGCTGTTGTTAGGTGCCACGGAGTCATGTCCAACTCATGCTGACCCAACGCACCACAGAACGGACGCTGTCCAGTCCTGCCCCAGCCTCCCAATCCTTGCTGTGCTTGAGCCCGGTGTCGTCCGTCTCGTTGAGGGCCTTCCCCTTTTTCGCTGACTCTCCACCTTACCAAGCATGATACCCTTCTCCAGGGAATGGTCCCTTCTGACAACACGACCAAAGGAGCTGAGATGAAGTTGGCCACTCTAGCTTCCAAGGAGCATTCCAACTGCACTTCTTCCAGGACAGACTGGTTTGCTGTGGCACTCATGGTATGTTCCGTATACCTGACCAATACCATAGTTCAAAGGCATCAACTCCTCTTCGGTCTTCCTTGTCATCGTCAGGCTTTCACATGCAAATGAGGCAACTGAAAACACGTTAGGGGCACCTTAGTCTTCAAAGTGACATCTTTGCTCATTAACACTTTAAGGAGGTCTTTTGCAGCAGATTTGCCCCTTGCAATATGACACCTGATTTCTTGACTGCTGCTTCCACTGAATGTTGACTGTGGATTCAAGTAAAATGAAATCTCTCACAACTTCAATCTTTTCTCCGTTTACGTTGTTCATTGGTCCAGTTATGAGGATTTTTGTTTTCTTTATGTTGAGGTATATGGAATCCATACTGAAATGAAGACTGTAGTCTTTGATTTTCATCAGTAAGTACTTCAAGTCATCTTCACTTTCAGCAAGCAAGGTTGTATCATCTGTATATCGCAGGTTCTTAACGAGTCTTCTTCCAGTCCTGATGCCATGTTCTTCTTCATACAGTCCACTTTCTTGGATCATCTGCTCAGCATATGGACTGGGTAAGTATGGTGAAAGGATACAACCGTGACGCACACCCTTCCTGATTTTAAACCATGAAGGACCCCTGTGTTCTATTCAAATGACAGCCTCTTGGTCTACGTGCAGGTTCCTCATGAGCACAGCTGAGTGTTCTGGAACTCCCACTCTTCACAATCTTGTCCATAATTTGTTATGATCCACAGAGTCCAC